GGGGTGGGGTGGGGGGTGTTCGAGAGAGGATGGGGCCGCACGGCGCACACCGGCGCAACGAGGGAAGGGAAGGGGGCGCATGGGTGGGAGCAGTGGGTGCTGTGGCAGCGCAGGTAGGCGCAGGACAGGAGCCGCGCCAAGGAGGGACGGGCGCATGGACCCATCCCTCCTTGGAGCGTGGAGAGGCCGGAGGTGCCGTGTCATTGACGTTTGCTGGTGGACGTGCAAACCCCAGGTGCATTAGGACAACCTCAGGAGGTGCCTGCGAGGTGCCTGCGCACGCTCGCGGCGCAACAGTGCATCCAGGCAGCATTCAATGTGCCCTTGGTATACCAGGCGCCCGCTGCTTCACCCAACACAAGGGGGCAGTGGCCTTATCGAGCAACAGAGGGCAGCTCCCGGGGCCGTGCCCACGCAGCCACAACGGCTAGATCACGCCCGGCCCGCCGGCTGCGCCCTGCCCAGCCCGTCATCATGACGTCACCAGATGACATCATCATGATGTCACCCACCTGTCAGGTGGTCGTAGGCCTCCTGGAGGTCCCAGCCCCTGAGCCAGTGCATGTAGGCCAGCGCGGTGGCGGGGGCGCGGCCCATGCCTGACGGGGTGGGGGCATGTGTAGTTCTTTGTGTGTGTGTGTGTGTGTGTGTGTGTGCGCACGCGCGCACCCGCGCGTGTGTGTGTGTGTGTGTGTGTGTGTGTGTGTCTGCCAAGTTGCGAGGGCGAGGGTTAGGAGTTGTGGGTGAGGGATTTGGGCTGTAGAAAAACGGTCGGCAGAGTGCAGGTGTCACGGTGTGGATCGTAGGAGAGGCTGGAAGGGCAGCGCCGCGCTGCGCAGGTACGGGGCGGGTCGGGCGCAGCGGGGCTTTCGCTGGAACGGTTCGTATCCAACCCCCACAGTCCACCCGCCTGCTGTGCAGTGGATGTATGCGATGCCGAACTTGGGCTGGTGGGCGTGCGCCAGCCGGGCCACGGCCTTTGGCAGCTTCTTCCTGTAGCGCAGGGCGTGGTGGCGCGGGGGTTGTGAGCTTCAGGGTCAAGAGGACACGCAGGAGCTCACAAAGGACCTCCAAAGCTCATGGTTTGCCTTTGCTGGTTGAGCATCACGCAAATGTGCACCCACTCAGTACACACGCACACACTCAAAGACACACACGCACGCAAATATACACACATGCTCATCTGGTTGAGACCACATCATCCAAACCCTGGATCCATGCTGCTCCGCCCTTGTGCAACCGCCCACCCCACCACACTCCTAGGCATAGCCGTCCCACCCTCCTTAAATCACAAACACACACATACATATACATATACAGGCGTGCATGCACGTACGCATGGCTCCCCCCTCCCACCTGAGGTCAAACGGGTCAAAGTCGCGAACGGGGAACCGCACGTGCTTTATGTCCCCCCGCTCCCTGCAGCGCTCCCTGATGGCCTCAATATCAATCTTAAAGTAATCCATGTCGCAGTCCTCCTGGGGGTTGCAGGGATGGCACAGTCATGGGTTTCGAGCCGAGGCACGCGTGAGATTGTTGAGGAGCGAGCGTCCGCCGCTCCTGCCGTGCGGAGGGGCCAGCGCGCCTGCGAGAGCGGCGTGCCGCGCGCCCTCGAGGGAAGCGCAGACGACTGCCGCATGCGGCGCGGCTGCCGCGCACCCCACACCTGCAGGTTGAAGACAGTGGTGACCCCGGCCTCGGCCAGCCTGTCCACGTCGGCGGGGGTCTGCAGGGGCCGAGGAGCAGGGGAAAGAGGAGGAACAAACGCACGTGTGCGTGTGTTTTCGGGTATGTGTGTGTTTGCACGTGTGTGTGTGTGTGTGTGTATGTGAGTGTGTGTGTGTGTGTGTGTGTTGTGAAGATCCCTGAGTGATTCCAGGGGTCCGGCTTCTGCACCGCCGCCTCCCCTCCCGCCGGTCGCCCCTTGCGACCGGCTGCGCCCGCAGCCACCCGCCTGCTCGGACGTGCGCTTCGCCCGCCCCTGCACGCGCGCCCCCGGAGCCCTCCCCCCGCCCCGAGCCACCTGCAAGCAGCTTCCCACGTAAAGATCCGGCATGATCTCGTTCCAGTTGATGCCCAGTTCGTGGCGGTATGTGAGGGTCGTCCCCATCTTCTTTTGCATCTCCTCTGTATACTCTTCACTCTTTGCCTCCTCATCTTCCACATCCAAGTTGTCAGCTGGCGCGGCCGAGGCGGCGGCGACGGCGGCGGGCGGCTGCTCCGCCGCAGCGATGGGGTCGCCGGCGGCGGCCTGCGGCGGGGGCGCAGGCGACGGCAAACGCGTGTGCAAAGTCATGGAGTTGTCATAACGTTGGCGCAGGGGGAGGGGGAGATGGCTTTGCATGGGGGTTTGGGCATGGCAGGCACGAGTGCATGATGTGTAAAGGTCCTGCCCAGAGGCGTGGCGGGTCAACCGTGACATGGGGGAGCATGCCATGCACATGCCATGCTCACCTGCGCAGCTGCGACGCGCCGCGTCACTGGGCGTGCGCCCGTCCTGCTGCTGAGCGCCCGCCGCTGCGCTGGCCTGAGGGCGGGCGGGTACGGTTTGTACCCGCAATTGAACGTGGTGGGATGTATGTGACATGGCAGCGGTGGCACCGCAGCTGGGAATGGTCGTCGGCTCGCAGTAGCAGGGTGCACTGAACACATGACCGCCAGCGCCGCCGCCGCTTTGACGCCCGCTTCACCTGACAAAGGCTGATCGTCGCCCATCCACCAAGCTGCAGGAGCTTTGTATTCCCCGCATTGGGCTCTACACTTCCTATGAGGGCACGAGGCTTGAAGATCCCAGATCGCTGTAGAAACGCCTTTGGTTGAGTGTACTGATGAAGATGTACCTATTGTCTTGATTCGCGGTACATATCTGCGCACGCGCCTACATTGCAAGTCACCCGAAGCGGAGTGTGTTCGTCGCAGTGTGTGTAAAAAGAGCCCTGTCGGCGGCAAGCCGCTAGTGGATTAGGGGAAAAATTCAATGACGCGATACTCAATTACCAAGGTTGTCGTTACACCGCTCTGAGGGTCGCGACCCCCGCTGTGGTCAAACGCAGCGCTGCACGCGCAGCTGGTCAAGGCGCCCTCGCCATGCCTGAGCCAAAGAAGAAGAAGACGAAGGAGGAAAAGGAGGCAGAGCGAAAGAAGGCCGAGGAGGCGCGCCGCCTGGCCGAGGGTGAGCGCGCTGACGCGGTGCGTGCTGCGCGCCCAAGCACTAGCCGGAGGCCTGCTGCGCCCCGCCTCCTCGCCTGTGGTGCAAGCCACGGCCTACTGATGCGCTCGCGCCGTCCTTCCGCGTCACGCTCTGGCAATGCAGAGGCCCGCCTGCAGGCGGAGGAGGAGGCCCGGCGGCTGGCGGCGGAGGTGGAGCTCAAGCGGCGGCAGCTGCTCGAGCAGCACCTGGCGGTGCAGGCGGAGCGCGTGCGGCGGCAGCGGTGCGAATATGGACAATAACGCTCGCGCACACCGGCAGGACGGCTGCGACCCTGTGCCTAGCCTGTGCTGTCCCGCTTCCGCCCTGACCCTCAACCAAACAAGATCTGGATGGTTGACCAGAAATTGCATGTGTGCACGATACCTTTTCTACTTCCTCACCAGAGGATGAAGCTTCGGGAACGTCCTGTGCATTGAAAGTATACAATATGTAGCAGTGCAACACACCCAATCCTCCCCCTTTTTTTCCATCCCCGACCTCCTCTCCCCCTCAAAACACTGCGCTGCACGAGCAGCGACGCCAGCCGCGCCACAGGGGCTCAGCTTGCGGCTGCCCGCCGCGCCGCCGCCGTGAGCCGCGCGGCCGAGCTGGAGTGGGCGCGCTACACGTCCTGCTCCCACTTGCCCGACCCCCGGGTGGCGCGGGAGATGAACGGGCACCTGGGCGAGCTGGCAGCGGCGGGG